AAAACCTGCGAAAGGTTGAATGGAAACATAATAAAGAGAGGTAAACTGTCCGCATGAACCATATTTACATGTTGGCCAATTACAACCATGACGACGGTGTGAGGCTTTGAAATTGTATCGGGAATATTTGACTTAGAACAAATAACAGACACAAGTAAAACATTAAATAGCAGAAATGTGAATGGATGATTGTTTCTGGCTTCAATATAAAGCTTCAAATATTTAAACCTTAAATTCATCACACATTCTTCCCAGCTTTCTTTGTTTATTTGCGCACGTGTTCTTAACACAAAGTGCATGAAATAAACGCATATGTGGCTGGTCAGTCCTATCTGTCCACTCGCATAATTAAACTCGAGAGCCGATGGACGAATTTGAATCAAATTTGGTACAGATATTATCTCACCGAAGTGAAGTTTGAAATGGCACTCGGCCACTAGATGAGGTGAAGCCTCCTTGGTGGGGCAGGGCTGGTAAGAGCGAGGGCGGTTGGGTACCCCGGAGGACCCGCTGTAGTTCATCTCGGGGTGACACGTGCGTGGGGTATCTACCACTGCGACACTACCACGTGGGGAGAAACCGGTAGATGGGGCAGAGCCCCATGTTAAGGAACAACGTCCAAAGACGAAGGAGAAGCATTTTGGGGGGGCGGAGCCTTAGTGGTGAGGAGAGCAGAGACCTTAGTTTCAACAGGGATACTTTTATCGGGGACCCTAAAGGGAGTCGAGCGGAACCCCAAGGCAACAGGATACGCCTTAAATGACGCAATTCCCTGTTTGGGGTGGAGACCCCCTGAGTTGTTACGTAGGGTTGATTGGATTGAGATAGATTGTGGAAGTTTAGGTTGTGTTAGGTGGTTAAGGTTGGGGAAGGTTAAGTAGAACTAGATTCAGCGTTTTTGACCGCTGAGTTTTGTGAATTGGAACCTCGGAGCGAGTCACTTACCAGACGTTTGCTGGAAGGGATGGCAGCAGGCTGCGTACAGTACACTCCAAATAAAATATCACCACGGTATGTAACATAGGAAAGTCGATTTCACTACACTACACATCACTAGAAAATTAACACTGCAGAGAGTATTAGATAATTTTATCTTCTTCACAACTCTTTGGCCCTCTTCCAAATTATTCACTCCTCACAGACCATCGCTTTCTTACATCACTCGCTTCATCTCTGCCGGTGTTTCTGTCCACTCCTTTATCTTCAACTATAACACGTTCAATAGCGTTTCCGATTATGCCTTCTTGCTCATAAAAGATTTGTTCTAATTTTTCCACATGCCAACATAAATTCTCCCAGTCCTCTTGCCCAGTTTCTTCGAATCTCTGGCGACATAAATGCTCGACGTCCTTAATTTTAAAAATTGTGTTCTTGATTGCGACCCACTGTTTTACATCTGCCCAAATAAGTTCATTGGCGTTTAAATCGGGATGGTAGGGCGGAAGTCTCAGCACAGTATGTTCTTTGTCTGCTAAAATATGATCAATCACATAATATTTGTGCTTTGACTTATTTAATTTGATTAAATCGTACAGTTGAGCTTTCAACACTTTGTAATAAAAAATGTGATGTTTCTTTCCAGTAGCCAGGCTTTCATTTCGTCCTTCTTGAGTAAGACGTCGGTGGTTTGTCTCCTTCCTTCCTTCCTTCCTTCATTGAGTGGTCCGCATACTGGGCCCTTCCTACAAGGTCACCGGCCAAAATCGGTGAATTCAGTTCTAATGTTCTGTTAGATCGGGTTGATTTTGGGTAAGTTACGTAAGTTGGTCAGGTGCCCCCGCTGGTTGTGTCGAAGTGTGTCACGTGGGGATGTGTCTCGGAGGAACTACAAGGGACTAAGAGTATAATGGATCGTCTTGCAGCGATGCAACCACTTTATGGGACAATTTAGGTAAGGATAGGACAGGTTAGGTTTCGTTAGTTCAGGAAGGATAAGAACAGGTCAATATTTTTGGATAAGTTTGCTATATTAGACTACATTTGGTTTTGTTGGGTTAGTTGAAGGTAAGTTAGGTTAGGTTTGTCCAGTTTAAGGCAAGTTACGTTGTATTAGGTAAGGTTTGGTTCGGTTAAGTTAGATTGCTGGGTTGAAGATGTTTGGGTTTGTTTATGTTGAGTCTGGTCAGCTGAGGTTAAGTTAGTAGCCCAGGCGGGTGCCCGCATGAGGGACGGGAGGCACAATGAGTTGCTCCGCGGGGAGGCCCACGGTTACCTCATCGATCACCGTGAGGACCCCGAGTGCGGGGACCACTGATTGGTGCAGCCCTCATGAGCGACTGCACCGCGTTTGTGGGGCGGACGATAATGGGTTGGGCGAAAGCCTACATTAGTTTAATTTAGAAGAGCTTCGTTAAGTTAGGTTAGGTAAGGCGCATATAGAATTGAACAGAGGGGTTCGAATGAAAGGGTAACGACGAATAGTAAATTGAAATAATATGGGATGACGCCATCGTGGCATAATTTAAGTAGGCGTTCTATCTCGAATTTTTCCGAAGGAACTAAGGAAAACTATGACAATCCTCAACGTGAATATACTTCTTCCGAACCGAGATTTTAACCCTGGATCTCCTGAATGTGAAGCAGAAGTGGTAACCACTTAGCGACGGCGTTCGATTATTCTAGAATTTGTCTTTTTTAACGTAACGTTTCGGCAAAATAACGTGATGAAAATTGGTTTAAAAACATCCTGTTTACCCGAGTGGGCAGCGGCCGAGTCGGATATCCGTCAGACGAAAAGTTACCGTGTGTATGTAAAATTTTCATCAAATTCCTGATGATGGGACCAGAGATAGTTCCCGAAACGTTAGTCGCTTCGTGCAACCATTTGATGCGGTTGTTGCCCGAGAATATTTTATCCAGTTTCCTCGCCGCGAAAGCTTCAAATCGTAAGTGGTCTTAGGATGTTATGCTGCTCGCCCGCGGACTTACTGTCAGTTCAGCCGATTAGTGGGTAATGACAATGTAAGGGGCAATATTAAAATAAAGATATAGAGGAAAATAAAGTGTTACAAATTATATAAATACAAAAAATATTTTTTTTCAATTTTTGAAAAATTATAGGGGGTGCTGCAGCTCTTATGGACGAGCCGCCACTGCTGACACATTTACTCATCGCTGTGCTCCAACATGTTTGTATGCCACGTGTGGAGTCCAAAGCAGGGCTACTTACTTGGCTAAAACATTAACTGAAAAAATTATACAAAACCTGAGACACATTTGATAAGATAATTTGACTGGAGTTTGAAATTATTCAAACACAGATAACATACTCCATTCGCTTCCATGCCCTCGTTCATTGTTCTTTTAATTATAACCGTGCCCAACCGCAAACTTTGTCGGCGTAGCAGAGTTTATGCCTATTAAATTTGCTGAGTAGTCGACATATGATTGTCTCCAGATGCCGTTCTACATCCAGAATACGGAGACAGAGCTGGTGGTGGACCTCAAGGAAGGGGCTGAGGGCGAGGAGCCGCAAGTGATCATGTTTTCTTACCACGGGGGCGCCAACCAGCTATGGGAGTACAAGGATGGCATGATATACAGCAAATCGAATGGGTGGGTACTTAGCAACAGAAGTGTCCACACAAATGATATAACAATTTTGGCGCTTTAAATCGATTGTCTCCTGCAGACCTTCAGTTTGTTATGGCTGCCGTGTCAGTGTCCTATTTGACCTTTTTGAAAGGCGCCAGTGACGTCATGCGGTCTTTCACCTCTGTGGGTGGGATATCTGTCGCCTGTCCAGTTGGGTGATGATGTCATAACGGGGGTTCCCCCGAGAACGCCTCCACGTGGACGTGTGTCACTGTCAATTCTGCGTGCAAGGTTCTTCATATGAAGTACTCGTTATTGTTTTCCGATTTTAACCGAAATTTGAGTTTGTCTGTAAATGTTAGTTAAAACTCACCAATATGAAATCCGTTCCGCTGTTGTTGTGTTGTTACATGGTGACACACAGACATGCTGACGGTGACTGTTGGATATGGCTGTTAGACAACGTTTTTTTTTCCACACGTGTTTCAGGCGATCGACATGTACTTTTACGCTAATTGCCAAAGCGAAAATATAATTTTTCTTTTGTCTCCAGATCTTGAGTTGTCCGTGAATTTATAGGGATGATGGTTCCTGAGGCTAGTTCCTCTTCTCCTTTATAAGGTTCTGCACGTCACGTACGCCGAGTCTCAAAGATATGTTACTCAATATTTTAAATAACTTCAGTGTGCTTCTGTTAATAGTGGACATCGTTCATACAGAGAATTCACACGACAGTTTTCACCTTCTTGCGAAACATATCCTGTCACGTATTTATAATCCGCATATACAGGATGATTGAAAAGGTTAGGACCAAACTGAAGGAACGTGTAGATGGACTCAGAGAGAACAACTTTCGAATAGAAATCCATGTCCTCCGAAAGTTATCCTGAGTCAGTCGAGGCCATTGAAGGTAGGGAAGTCTGATAACATACCACTGAAATAATCGTACTTTGATATTCTCCTACTAGCTTAATTTTGAATCACGCGTATCCCGTCAGATTCTACAGAGGCCCCAGGGCTGTTTACATTGTGTTTGTGAGTTGGTATTGCTGCTTTCGTAATCTTTTTACATTCACTGATACGTCAAATGGAACGATACAATTTTGCAGAGCTGTCCCTATCTCCAATGGCCTCGACTGACTCAGGATAACTTCGGAGACATTTTCACTTATGACAGGGTTATACGAAACGCTTTTGTTTGCTCTGCGAATGGAAGAGCCTAGCACGGGGAAGTCATTTCTAATATAAACAACAGCAACTTCGATAAGAACAAATTCCAGGGCAATAATAAAACACTTAGTATCTGGTTAATTGGTTCGTGCAGAAGACGTTTGTTTCCCGTGGCCACATATTGCAAGAGGCTTAATGAAACATTTAGTTAATGTTATGGATCAACATGGCAATGAATTTCTGTATTTTAAACAACAGATATTTACAAACATGAATAATGCTAGAACCTAAGACGGAATATTTGTAGACTCGCAAATTAAAGAAGTCACAAGAGTCAGCCTATCTGATGTAATTTCAAGTTAAATGTAAACGTGAGCTTGGAGACCATTTGAAGGAGTAACCGTCAGTCTCGTTGGAAATTTCAGGGTAGAAAATTACGATTCATTTGTCGAAGAACTTCGCCACTCTCCCCCCAAGCTTTACTTTACGATTTATTCCGCAGTTCTAACTGAGTGATGGCCTACAAAACGTCATCAAAATTTATTTTGTAGCCTCGTATCTCGACTTGTTTCCAACGTATGTGGACATTGTTAGTGATGAACACGGGAAACCCTTTTGTCGAGAAATATCAGCACGTTATCTGGCTACGGTCGAACCAAGCGCAAGGCATTTGTAGCTATCGTTTAGGCAAGTTCAACGTGCAAGTTATACATTGGTATTTTTATTTTGTCTTTAAATTAGTATAGAATTAATCTTCAGTTTACCAAACTCGGTGGGTAATTGAAAAATGAAGGAACGGAAATATCAAGGCTTGTTGGCTGTTCATTGCTGAAGGAGATTTTGTGTCAGGGCGTAGGTTTTTTGGTAGGTGAGACTCGTTCAAGGAAGGCAATAACTCTGTCAGTCAACCATTGAATCAGTCAGTCTCTTAGGTTGTTGATTAGTCAGTCAGACACACCGTCTGGTACACGGGCGGTTAGTTGCTTAGTCAGTCATGCAAACGGACAGTCAGTCATTTTCAGTGCAAGAAGGAATCAACACAAATTATTATTTTATTTTATTTAAAAAAACACGAAAACACCAAAGGATCTAAATCTCTAGAATGTTTGTTTCAGACTGGTTCTGGATGTGAACCAGGAGACTGGCAACGTGTCCACATTCGAGCCACACGGCGGAGCCAACCAGTTGTGGCACTTCGAGGACGATGGTACGATCAGAAGCGAGATCGACCAGGTACTGGACGTGTCTGAAGGAGGCGCCGAACCTGGGGCCCTCGTGATCGCTTTCACAAAGCACGGTGGACCCAATCAGATCTTCAAGATCGTGACGGTCGACGAATAACCTGCACTGCAGGACGACCGAGTGTCGATTGAAGTCGATGCACCGTTTCTCTCTTGTGTCCTTTGCTCGGTAGAAATTAAAATTCTTTACCCGATCGTATGTAACATGCCAAATTCTGCATCAGAAACTACATATAAAAACACGTACACCGGCAATTACAACATTTATGGGAATTCTAATGGGTGCTCGTAGCCATTTTTTGTTGGACACAAAAGGCAACTCAAATCCGTTAAGTTCTTCTGCTTTTTTGAAACGTGGGGGGAGATAGTCGGACGTACAAGTGTTACGTCACCGATGTTGTTCGTATTTGTATCGACTGATATTCCTAATAAAACATTTGACAGTTCTACGACCAAATCATTTATTCGTTTTAAATGACTTTACTCGATAAACGTTCATAATATTGACATAAAATGATACGGCGTTTCTCATACATCAGTGTTAGCATTTCCCTCTTCGTTCCCAATCTTACGATCGACTACGTCTCATGAGATTTCACCCTATAAAAATTCTGTAATAATTTCTTGTTTCCCTTATCCTACCTTCACATGCAGATAATTCGTAATATCTTTCATTTAAAAGTGTCTCAATCAAGAATTTACGCGGTAAATTATTTTCCCTACCACAGGAATTATTAATTCATATTACATAACCTCAATTATTACCAGATAATGCGATCATAAAAGTAGCATCTAACAAACGTACTTGGTCAAACTAAAGCAGAGGAAGGGTTTTTCAGATTCCATTATCTTCGGCAACCCACCAGCCATTATCCAGCACCGGTTGAAAGTCAAAATCGGGGAATTACCTGTAGTGGAGGAAATGACTTCCAATGATCGGATTAAGTCATTTTAAAATTAATATTTTACAGCGGTTAACATTATAGTGTTTGGGCGAGAATTCAGGTTATAACGGCGACAAGTATGAAGCTGACAAGACTTACAGCACGTTTCACCGTGAAGTCTCATAGATATTTACAGACGTTTCAGAGACGCACTAGACTTCTATCACCAGTGCAACAACCCAGGACAACATCCCAGAAGAAATTCGTCTTCATCATGTTTAGTTTATCGGGCAATTACAATTGGAATATGTTGTTTATTCATTTAGTTTATATTCTTTGTTAGTTACATGGATTTTGTAGTAATTTACTTCTTATATAAATAAAGTTTTAATGAATAATTTATCCCATATGTTTAATCGTGGGCATTCTTTATTTTTATCGAATTATCTCCTGGAAAATGTGATGTTAATTCCCCTAATTTTCAGTACGACGTAAATATGGTCTCTTCAGAGGTAATCCTGCATCCATGACCAGGGTGTTGAAGGCAGTAGCACTTATGTGACGTTGGTAAACTTTTACCAGATTACGCTGCTCACAAGAGAGCTATCTTTATATTAGCCGCTGTAAGTACATGAAATAATATGATTCTGTTCGAAATCAAATTTGACAGCATTGCCTCCCGTGGTTGTACCGCAGTGACTATTTCTGGAATTCGGTAGGTAGTGATGTTTCTTCCGCCGCTGATGAGGCCTGATAGTTATAAAGCGTGTTCCACTCAGAACACACCAGTAATTACTTCACACGAACCCCTTCCTTTAAGCACATAATGACGAAGCCAAAAGCAAGAAAATAGGGCCAGGAATCTCAAAAACTCTGTGTCCAAGTTTCGGTGATGGTGGTAGTGATGATGATGATGATGATAATAATAATAATAATAATAATAATAATAATAATAATAATAATAATAATAATAATAATAATAATAATAATAATAATAATAATAATAATAATAATAATAATAATAATAATAATAATAATAATAATAATAATAATAA